TCTTAAACTTAAAAAAAAAAACAAAAAAGTATTTTCAGGTTTTCATAAATTCAAATAACCTGTGGTTTAATATATAGATTTAAAAATGCAATATTCAATTAAGTATCAAACGATCCCTTGACCACTAAAATAAAACCAGCAGAAATCTTACTAGAAATCGTAAAAATATTATTAAAAAAAAATTGTGAACATTAAATACAGTTTAATTCCGTCTGTTCAGTTATCATAACAGCTTTGTGGTAAGCTATGGTTACATAGGTTTCTTTCTCGAAACATCCAATAAAGTCCGAAGGTGATACTTTGATTCAAAACATGGAAATGTTCATATTTCAAAATGTCTATTTTCAATATTTACCGAGATATAAGGAGCCAAAAAAAAGTTTTTCCTTGAAAAAGGTATAATAAAAAAGTCCCCATCACAGCAAAACCTCTAATCTCTAACGTAGTTTAATTTATGAAACTACTTTTAGTGTATTCAAAATTGTTTTTTTACAGAACTTCTCTGCCACATGATTATTTCGAAACTTTGTCATTCTTCTTCTTTGTTTGAGGAAAAAAAGCGATTTAGTGTCTAAAGTACTTTTACCTAATAGTGTCTGTGACCACTTGGGTGATCCACTTTAACAAAAGCACCGCTGAATTCTGATAATAAGTTATTCTGATGAATTTACAGAAGTATAGTCTAAAGGCAAAATCATCTTCTTGACAGAGTATAAATTGCCTTTGATTTAAGAGAGTGCTATTCTGAATTAGTCTAAAGCATATTTTCTTGTCAGAATACATATTGCAATTCTCAATTATTGTTAACATCCACAGAATTGAAAAATTTCAGCGCTTTGTATTTGATATACTCTCGTAGGTTCTCTTAGATTCTCAAGTCTTACTGAATATCTTCATTTCTGATGTGACATATAGAGCGTTTCCCATACGACTCAGTTTAATATTCTGATAAGTTTGAAATTTTGTAATAGTTAGTGGATTAGCACTGCCTCATAAGTAGCACTGAAACAAACCAGTTTATGTATAATTACTTACTCAAAAAGCGGAGTTTATTTTTTTACACTTAAATTTTATATTACTGAGCAGTCCATTTATTTTACTGTCTGATTTTTTAGAGCCTAGAAAGTCTCTCTGTAGAACATTTATTTGAGGAACAATAAAATTATAACATGAATGTTTTCTTGTCGTCCACGATAATGAGATTAAGAATTGACTTTTCCGAGAGAAGTCTAATTAGTTCATTCTTCATGCATACAGTAAAACTATGATTGGTATTGTAAGAGTTTTTTGGCTATTGACGATTTACATCCAGCGGCTCCTAATTCTTTCTAAAATCATATCTTAATTTCTAAGAAGTCGTATTTATATTTGCATTGATTTGATTATTATTATAATTATTATTATGACGTGTTCTATAAATTACAATCACAATTTAAGAGCTTAGTCTATTCACATATGCTTCCCAGACACCCCTTCCCAGAGCATTCCCAGACGCGCTAATGCTCTAAACTCGCTGAATGATTTATTAGTTTCCCTGTTTATCGATCTTCTCCGTGTGCTTCTTGGCCGTCTATAATTGTTTTAACCTTGTGATTTCCATTCTAATGCTAAGTGTGCAATTTCACTAACCGGTTTACGCAAGGCATGTCCCAGTCAGCCATATCTGCTTTTCAATCCGTTGCTGATTTGAAATTTCGCATAGCCGCTTATTACTTATAGTTCCCGGCCACCAAATGTTTGGTATCTGGTGAAGCATCTATTAAGGTGTGTAATGATTTGATTAAGAAAATTTATATATCCTGCGTTATAAATCATTACTTCTCATATGAAGTAAAAAAGCACATCTCTTCAGGTGGACAATATGAAATAAGCGGAACAAAGTTTTGTGGACCAAAATTTATGGTGAACCGTCTAGCAAGCTTCAATAATTAGGTTGTATGCAGTTAGCATCTTGCAACATTTTTATGTACAATACTTACTTAAGAAATTCGAATCTACTAGATTAATTGAAACAAATAATTGAAACAAGACTACCAAATTTTTTTTGTGACAATCAGTAGCTTTAACTTTTCAAATGAGCGATACTTTCAAATTGGTAAATTGTTGTCGACTGATCAGAAGTTGCTGAAAAAGTACAAAACTCAACTTTCTCTGTCAATTGTCTAGATTATGGCTGTCCAAAGTACAACCCACGGGTCACATACGGCCAGTGGCTAATACATGTGCGGCCCGCGACATGTTTTTAATGTACCGGAATAACACAAATTTTCCTTTGATATATTTTGGTAAAATCACACTATTTTATTTTTATCTTGTCCCAAAAATGTGAATTTAAATAAATAATAAATAAAATTAAAATTAATATTATCATCAAATTATTTTTTTTTTTTTAAAAAAAAAAAAACATGGTCGTGTGTACTTGTTTCTGCGTCCCTCCCGTCTGTACAGTGACTTGTATTGGCCCACGATCGTATCTAGTCTGGACAGCCCTGGTCTAGGCAACACATTTTATGAATGTAGTTAGTGTATATGCAGAACTGGATTTCAGACGAAACAGACAACTTAAGAATAGTTGTATATGACATCAAATTTCAAATGGATTTCAGACGAAACAGACACCTTAAGAATAGTTGTATATAATATAAAATTTAAAAATCCGGAAAAGGTTTTTTTTAAACCGAAAGGTCACGTCTATTGTTTAATGGCTGAAGTCAGTTCATTTCAATTTTTATATATTGTTAAATACTAATTAACTGACTAGTTAATTGATATTGTTAAAAACACCACTAACGAGAAATTAAGTGTGAATTTAAAATATTTAAATAATTTTCAAATTAAATCGAAAAATCATTAAAAATCAATCAAAAGTACAAATTGATTACCACTAGTTTCTTTTGCTCTCTATTCCAATAAAAATGTCATACTAAAAAAAAATGCTTTAAAATGTTAAAAACATTTTTCGAAAACCAAAAGAATGTCATTATATTTCGACGGAATGCTTTTGTCTACCAGAGATGCCAATCCACTTCAATTGCAATTCTAGTAGGGACTTTGTGTGCATATGCCAAAATATCTAACCGCATCTGAAAATACTTGCATGCTTGACACTCGAGGCCGTACCGCAGCTATAGCGACATACTGATACGAGTAATCTATATCCTTTTCATAGTAAGTTCTTCCGTCTGATCCTTTGAAACTATTTCATTAATTTTTTATACTTGTTTTTTTTCAAATTGATTGACATTTATTTTCCTTGCTTGTCAGTTTCATGCTATTTAGTGTTAGCGATAATAGCAAAAAATGTCAAAAATTTCTAATTTTGAACTCAAAATAAATATCAAAAATAGTTTTGGCATTTGCCTGGTTTGTCCAAAATTTCTGTTCATTTAAAGAATCTCATTATAACTAACAAAGCATTTAGCTATTAGAAATGATATATACTTTATTTGAAGTCAATATTAATTTATTTACTTTATGACTGTTACATGCACATATGTTATAACATATATGAATGCATATATAATATTATGTGAAATAAAATCTAAACAAAACACAAATTTATTATTTATTTTAGACAAAATAATATTTATTTTTAAAACTACAAACTATAATTTTAGAAAATACTTGCATTAACTAAATAGAAATAATTTTCTTCTAATACTTCAGAAAATAGAAATAAAGCTTGAACAAAGATGATAGTAGGTAGAACCCGATCAAAAAGTTGGTTTTACTATAATGAATCCATCAGTTTTAGAAAACACATATCTAATATATATTAACAAATAAATGCTGTAAAACATCTCTTCTCTGAGCGGTTCGCATCTGGCTTTTGTGGAGACCCTTTAACTACTATATGTAAAAGTTTACAGAAGCCTCGTAGAAATTAACTCAAGAAGTAACGTCCGCACAAAAGTTTTAAAAAGCTATCAACTTTTTATCGTAATTAACGGTTCATAACAATATTGCATTAAATGTTTATTTTTTTTTTCGAACGTGACGCGTCTTAGAAACTATTACTAAGTAGTCGGAAAAGTTCGAACTGTAATGAAGAAATAACAACAAAAATTTTAATTAATTTCTTGAAGTTTGGCTGACCATACAACGCTGCATCAAGTATTTCCAAGTATACATTATGAGCAATCTTAGAAAATACTTGAATTTTTATTTAGTAAGTTTATAGTCAGTATATAATTTGTTGAACTGCAATAATAAATTAAAATAAATTAAATTAAAGTTAATAAATTAATATAATCAACAAATTAATTGAATTTTTTGTTATTGTTTCTTTATTATTGTGCGAATCCTCCTAACTTGAAAACTAACAAATTTCTAACTAAATAATGCAATATTGCATTAAGTTATTTTCAATCTGAGTTAAAGAAATAGTTGATCATATTGACAAACATCGTATATCATCTTCTTAAGCAAACTCATCATCTTTCACCCTCTGGGCTCGTTTTGAAAGCACCCCTATTAAAAACTCATATTTTTGCAAAATTTGAGCAACTCAAGTTTATATATATATAGTTTATATATACTTTATATATAGTTTATATATAGTCTACATTATTATATGTAGTTTCAATTATAAAATGAAAAAAAAAGAAAGTAAACTGATTCGCCTCAAAAAAAAAAAAACTTATAAGAATAGCGCAGCGAAACTACATAAAGTTCGCTTTTTAAATACTGATCCACTTATTTCCGATGCTGAATTCCTTACTGTCGGTAAAGAGCAGCATATGTGCTTCACGTTTTGAGAAAAGATCACCCAGTCCTAAAAAAAATTTTAATAATTCCGACCTTCACTTAGTTTTTGAGAATAAATTCCTCGCTTAAGCACCTGTTTTAAAAGTAGTAATTTTTTTATATATTCTAGTAAGGCATTGCCAGCTTTAAAACACTTCTAAACAGTTAGATGCAAGTTTTTAGCAGAGTAAGCAATGCTTTTCAAAAAAGTCAGTTTAATATACAAACAAAACTAGAATATAGATTAGGAAATAAGTACAAAAAGTTATTGCATTCGCATTATGTATTGTGTATATTTTTGAAAATCAAAAAATTTAGCAATAAGCAAAAATAAATTCTACCTCCTTGATATTGTTTTCATCAAAATTATATACATAGAATGGGATTTGATTGTGATCTAGTCGTGGGTACCTATAACTCATCTATTATTTGCCATATATGTTTGGATGTTATAGAGGATCCCTTAGAATGCAGACCATGTTTGCACACTTTCTGTGCTGCTTGTGCTGATGCCTGGTTTTCCAACAATAACGTTTGTCCTGTAGATCGATCCATTGTGACCACCAGAAAACCTTCTGTTGGCATTATTTCTAAGTTACTTTTGCGTACCCAAACTAAATGTGAATTTCACAATTATGGTTGCAAAGAGGAAATGTTCTTAATTGAATTCAAAGATCACATCGAGAACTGTTCATTTCAGCCTGAAAAGGAGTATATATGTTCCAAGGGTTGCGGCTGCGAAGTGAAAAGAAAAGACGAACAAACACATGATTGTGTTATGCATTTGTCAAAATTAATAATAAAACATCAGAATAAGCTGCGTACAGAAAGTGACGGTATTGAGTATTGTGAACAAGGCCTAGAATACTTAAGCACTAAATGGCATTCCATGTGTGATTTAATATATATAAATTGCCACATAGACCTAAGACCAAAAGAGACTTGTAGTAAATATTCAAGAGTAACAAGAACAAAATTAATTAATTGGGGTGCATCTCTTCCATTAGCCACTGTAGAAAGTTGGAAAAAAATTTGCACCAGACCTGAAGGTATACTTATAGAGAAGTTGAAGGATGCCTTAATTGCTTGTCAGTGTCCCTTGCAGTTTATGGAAAGATTTTTAAGGAATGCCACTGAATGCTATTGGCCTTTTGGTATAGTTGGTAGGTATAGTCGTCATCAAAACTGTAACGTATTAAAAAGATATGTCCTAAGGAAAATACCAAAGGTGCACGCGGTTGTGATGTTATTTGATCAAAACCAACATGTGTCTTATGATTTTAAAGTTTATCCTGGTTTGATATTTATATGCTTAAATGAAGAAAACGAATCCACTTAATTTAAAAATATTCAGATTTATTATATTTTTAAAAAAATTAAAATATTTACAAATATTTAATAAAATTGTGAAAGCAAATTTATAATTAACTTTAAATGAAAGTAGTTATATTTTGATAAAAATCGATCATAGAGTCTAAGTTTTGAAAGTGGACCATTTTTAAATTGTTTTCAACTACATCTAACAAGAAATTTATTTGTCAGCCCTTAGTCGAAATTTGTATAACTGACTTTTTACGATTTTAGTGAACAAATTTTCATTAATCATAGGCACATGATACACTAACGACGAAGGTTGGGATGGTACGGTTTTATTAGTTACAGACTAATAAAACCGTTTTGTTTCCACATCTCTTGTGGATTGTGAGTACCAGTAATAGATGAATTAGTTTTTTGTGAATTTTTTGTGATACGAGTTGTCGACGGGACAACTTTTTTTTACATTTGTGTTCATGTGGGAAATTATTCATTGGTCTTCTACTGCCCCGATTGTTCTATTTTTTAGAAATGACTACAATAATAGAAAAATGTATATAGCGGAGTTTTATTTTTTTATTTCGGAAGAACAACGTTTTTTTTTTTTTGCTTCCATTCGTCTATTTGTGTAGATTCTACTGCTCCGATTGTTGATTAAGTATATAGTTTTATATGTTAGAAGTCCCTTTGGGCGTGGTCGAACGGCACTTGGTCGTCTTTGACGAGTGGCTCCGGGACGTAGACCCGGCCGTTCTTGTTAGAAGTGACTATAAATTAGAATTCAACTCAAAAGTTTATTCTATCTATAATAAACTTTTGAGTTGAACTTCATTTTTAATTTTAGGAAAATGACATTTATTTATTGGCACCGGTTGCTGGCTAACTACAGGGTTCTAAATATTAGAAGTGCATACAATGACGTTTTTCACTTACTGGTTAAACTCATAACTCTATACGTTAAAAGTGAACATATATGTATACATTTGATCATGAGCATAGAAACTTCTCTGCATATTAATCATTTGAAATATTTTAAATTTAAAGGCTGTAACTGGTTTCTTATCGAAGAACAATAAATAAATTTGCTTTGAAATATGCTGAAAAATAAGTCTGTCCATATGCAAATTAGATAAACATAACCAGCGCGATATTATTCAAAGTGAATTCATTGCACAGGACGAAATATCTGATATGCCGATAGCCTTTAAAGCTGAAGCTTATCCGAACGCCATAAATTATGCAGCACTTAATTTTGTACGCAAACGAGTTTAACAAATAATAATTGTTTTGTTTAATTAGTCTTTTTTAGTGCAGTGTTAAACAGGGTTGCTCATGCATAATAGACATAAAACACATAAGTAGCGCTCGGTTATTATTATAAACTCCGACAGCAAAGGCAACACACACACACACACACGCATACCACAGAAGTATAGAGCCACACACAGGCACATGTACCAGCAGGGCAACCAATACGTACTAGTTCAATGCTTTGTGCCCGGGCACCAAGCAGCCGGCACATATGGAACAATCCTGTCGTTGGAGGACGTTAGTGGGCTGGCTGCTTTGTTGCTTTGTGCAGAATGTGCGAATATTTGCACTTTTATTGTGTAATTTATTTTGCTGTGTGTAATGTGCTATTAAAAGTGTTAGTATTTTATAAATGTGCTTAAATTTTTAATTAAAAATACACGTTCAGAAACTGCTCCACTTTTTATGATTTTAACTTTTATTTTTATTTTAATTTTAATTATTTTTTTATAGAGCAAAATTGTTTCATTTATTTGCATGTTTCTCGCTTCCCTTTGCTATTGTTCTACAAAATACATTAAATACATTAAATATGAAGCATATGCAACAGTTAATGTGCCACATAACTGTATCTGTAATGAATTTGCCTGTAGATTAATATGCAATGGATTAATATTATTTAAATTTATGATTGAGGGCAAGAGCTTATGGGCTTCCGCGATTGAGCAAGCAGGAAGTGGCCGTAATAATCGGTATCAAAACATGGAACCATTGAAAGTATTCGATACCATAAAACATAATTTAAGTATCAATTAAGTGCTTAAATTGAATTAAAATGTATATTAAGTGTAATTAAATTAATTATGTTTGCATGTAAATATTTTAAATAGAATTTTAAAAGTACTAATGCTATATATGGAACTGCGATTTTTATTTCAATAATTATGACGCTTGTCAATAAATCAAAGAATATTATTCAATTCAAATTAATTAAAATAAATCGTTTTGATTTTTAACTGATAAACTAGGTGAGTCTGAGAAAAACTCACCTATTCAACCTATTTATTTAGAACAATAAAAAAAAGGAGAAAATTTAATGAAAAAAAAAAAAATTAAAAGAAAACTGTTTTAATATAATATTAACCTAATTAAAAAAAATTTTTTTTAATTTTTTTTTTAATTTTGAATATTTTTACTATTCACAGATAAAACATTTCAATTCGGAAACTCAAAATAAATATTAATATTTTTTTAACTATTTTTTAATTTTGAATATTTTTGCTATTCACAGATAAAACATTTTAATTCGGAAACTCAAAATAAATATCAAACGCTCAATAATTCGCTTTCTGTAGTATACGCAAATCACCATATTAGGATATTAACCAAAATTCCATTAAAGTAAGATATTTCCTAACATAAAATAAACTGTATTATGCAAAGATGAGTACTTCGGTCACAAGCTATGGACTAGTCATTATTCCAGGAAAGACTGAAATGATGCTGTTCACCACTGAAACCAAAACATCAGCTTTCTGTTTGCCTTCACTAAATAGACAATAGTTAAAACAATCACAAAAAGCCAAAGATCTAGAAGTTGTTGGAGAGTAAGTCAAATTGAAAATACAATGTCTGTAAGCAATATTTATACCAAGCACAAACTCAGCAGAATTCAGAGCACAACTTGCGTTGCATTATAAGAACCTTTGGATGACCCCTTTGAATGAACAAAACGTTATCCTACATCTGCCATCCATTAATCATCATCGATGTAGAGAAACAACTGACGACAACACCTAAACACCTAAATGGTATCATTTTTATCTGGGTTTTTGGACAGAGGAACATTTCAAGAAATGAAAATTGCAGGAATGACGCAGGAACATTTCAAAAGTGCAGTAGTTTTAATAACTTAAAATTTTTTTTTGTTTAGCAGTGGATTATTTTTTAGAAAATTATATATGCAAACTATATATGACGATATACCCATAAGAAACTGTTGTCATCCGGTATCTTTAACATTAAATAAAAAACTTTAAAATACATCATTCTATTGTATTTTGATGAATGAAAACTACTACATAATGCATTAGAAGTGGTAATGGGATAAAACGTAAAAATTTTACAATCGTTTTTCTTCGAAAATTGTCTTAAAGGTAATACGGTGCGTATGAGTAACGTGATGTATGTCCAACAAATTAATTTTTTTTAATTACTTCTAAAAGCACACTGGAAATATTTATTTTTTGAGTAGAATTAATTGGTTAATCTGAATCAAAACCTAAAAAGAAAAATCTGCGTGACATGTTCTACATAAAATTTTTGGATTTCAAACGAAACGAAATCAAATAAGAATATTTGTAGAATATTCTTTGAAAATTTATTCCATGGAAATATAGTAAGCATGTGCTTGATGTGTTTTGCGGGAGAAAAAAAATATTAAAAAATTTAAACTATTTTAACAAACTCAAAAAAGTGCTATGCAATAGCAACATCACCAACTCGTTCAATAGTTTCAGTTCCAATTTTAATGGCAGCATCGTTCTGAGGTAGTCATAATCAATAAGGTAGTGATAATCAAGTACTTGGTTTTTTTAATATTAATAGATATACCAAAATCTCTACTCTTCTCATTAATTTTTTCAAGAAGAAGTCTATACTATCAGCTATGAGTCTTGTATCGTCTGCATACCTAATGTTGTTTATATGGTAAGTATACCATTTAACTTAATGCCTTTGGCCAGATCGTTTATAATCAGATGGGTTATAACGAATATAATATTACTAATTTTAATCCCATTTAAATCTTTTAGTTTGCGACAAATTTATACTGGTTTATGGATGGCCAGACTGTATATCCGTAAGTAATTTATTTAAAAAATTAAAATTTTATTTAATTTACGATTTATTTTATCATTAACTTCTCATGCATAAAATGATTTAAGAGCAAGAGCAATGCATGACTTCTGATGATTTGCGTTAATTAAAATCAACACGAGGGACTTCATATTTAATAGTGAATTTCATACATCACGTACGTATGTGGGCTGCGGCTGTGGCTGAGGCTGGGGCTGGGGCTATGGCTGGGGTTGGGGCTGATTAGTGAAAGACGGGAAAAATATTCTAATTGCAAATTATAAATGACATAATTTCAAATCTTTTATCTGCGAACTTTTTAAAGTCACTCCAGCATATTCAACCTTGTAACTTTCCGTGTTCGCCTGCTTAAGCATAACAGTTGACAGTCCAAGTGAAAAGTTAAAGTTTTTCACACCTCAGCAGCGTTTAATATCACGCGTCCAATTGAAAAAGGGAAAAACTGTCATACACATGAAAGGTGAAAAGTGAGGAGTGAAAAGTGAGGAGTGAAAAGTGAGTAGTGAAAAGTGAAATGTGAAATGTGAAAAACAAAAATTGAAATAAATGCTTAAATGAAAAGTAATGCTGCAAAACGAGAGAAAAACACTGACAACACACTTATTTCGTAATTAAATGCAGCAAACAAAATTATGTCAAGCACAAACACAGACACACATATACACAGAGACACACACAAGGGAAGCAGCTGCTGGAATAGCGCAGTCAAATGAATTAGCGCCACTAGTGACACCAACCAACACTGCCAGAAGCAGCAGCAGCAACAGCGACAACAGCAGCGACAATAGCAGCGACAACGACATTGACAGCGGCCTCACTGTCGAATCGAAAATTGTTAGAAATCAAAGGAAAACCAACAACAACAAAGCGCAGCGCAGGAATAATTTT